CTCTCTCTCTCTCTCTCTCTCTCTCTCTCTCTCTCTCTCTCTCTCTCTCTCACACACACACACACACAGTGTAAAGTACTCGGACATTTTATTGTACAAAAGACCCCTTTAGAGGCTGCAACTGAACCTCTTGAATGAGAAACTGCTGAGGTGGTATGTTGTCCATTTTAGCCTCCAGTGAGTTCATGGAAAATTGTTCTTTGCAAAATGGAAGGTTCTAGAATTATCCTGTGAACATTAACATGTACTGTTTTCAAAGTTCAAAATGAGTTGGTAAATCAGCAGATAGGAACAAGGACTAATTATAGCAAGTGCCACTGTCAGGAAGATTATATAACAATTGCTTTATTGCTCAAACTAGGAATAAGCATGATTAATTAATAGTAAGAGAATTTATTTTCCCTTAGTTGCTAACCTGTGGGATGTTTCATGTGACTGAAGTACTAATTGCAAATGTGTCAAAATGTACTGAACCATAAATCTAAGAAATTATGCATCAATGTAAAGATATTAATTTTTTATAATCAGTATCTTCCTCCATGAGTGGTGAGAATAAGAGAGAATTAATCACCAAACAATGACAATGTGTGACATTTGAGCTTGGCCTATGCTGACAATCTAAAGAGGCAGATTTATCTGTTACTAGAGAAAACCCAGTTAGGAGGGAAAGACCTGAGATGATCAACAAGATCAAATTACTGCTTGAGATCTTTAAAATAATTTTAAAAAATAAACAACATAAAGTTCTAACCTTGAAAAAGGCAGAGAGAGAGAGAGAGAGAGAGAGAGAGAGAGAGAGAGAGAGAGACCCCTAATATTTGTAGAGCTGAAAAGAAAGTCAGAGGATGAACTTAAAACCCAATCTTACCAGAAAAAAAAAAAAAGATTAGTGATCTTGAAGACAGAGCATTAAAAACTAGAAAAAGCACACAGGAAAATACGATGGGGGGGGGGGGAATACTCCACCACTTTAGTTGGCTTGCCATGTGACAAGATTGAGAAAAGTAGCTGGAATATCAGGATTGTACTAGAATTATACCAAATAGCTAAAGAAACAGTACAAGAAAATTTAGTAGAGAATAGCTGAATAATCACCAAAATTATAAAGATTAGAGGAAGACTATACATTTAACATAATAAATTCAAGAAAACTCAAGTATGATTAAAAAAAAAAAAACTAAGCTACTATGTAATCACACTGAAAAAATCCTAAAAAGGAAAAAGTCTGAAAAGTAAGCAACATAAAGACATGCATACAATGCCGGGCGGTGGTGGTGCACGCCTTTAATCCCAGCACTTAGGAGGCAGAATCAGGCGGGGATCTCTGTGAGTTCGAGGTCAGCCTGGTCTATAGAGTGAGTTCCAGGAAAGGCGCAAAACTACACAGAGAAACCCTGTCTCGAAAAACCAAAAGACATGCATACAGAGGAACAAAAAGAGATAGAAGCAGAAAGGAACCAAAGAAGGAAAAACTTTTTTTTTTTTTTTGGTTTTTCGAGACAGGGTTTCTCTGTGTAGCTTTGCACCTTTCCTAGAGCTCACTTGGTAGCCCAGGCTGGCCTCGAACTCACAGAGATCCTCCTGGCTCTGCCTCCCGAGTGCTGGGATTAAAGGCGTGAGCCACCAACGCCAGGCAAAACTTTTTTTATACTTGAATGTGACTTAGAGTTTGCCTTTCTTCTTGCATGATTATAAGTTTGATCATGAGGCATGTGACCATTTGTATCTTGGTGTTGGTTTCTCTGGGCAATTTTCTAGATACTTTAAGGAGACAAATGTAAAAGCCCAGCGGGAACATCAAAGACCCTCTGCAATAGTTTACCAAACAGTCACAAGTGTCAGTAGGAATAAAGAAGAAAGGAGGAGTAACATACACTCAGCTGAGCAGCCAGCCCAGATATTCAAGTGAAACATTACACATCAAGGCTGATCACAGACGCCCACTGAAACAGACAGTAACAATGACTCCTACAGTGCATGTCCTCTGATCACAGAGCAATTCCACAGTATCTGGAGAAATTCCTGTACACTCACATCTTAAATGACATTCTTCTGAATAATGAATAGATCAAGGACAAAAACAGAAATAAAGTATTTTTCTTCCCCAACTGAAAATAAAAACAATGTCTAAGCAATGCTTAAAGTGGAAGCTAGGCATTCCTTAAAGTGGAAGTAGAGGCAGGAGGATCAAAGGCAGTTCAAGATCATGAGGGGTACAAGGCTACACAGAGGAACAACAAAACAAAACAAAAAAAAATGTTAAATCTAGAATCTGTATGAGAAAAATATAGCATTTCTATGAGTCTGGCTTACTAACATGATAATATCTAGCTCTATCCACTTTTCTGAAAATGACATCTTTTCATTCTTTTTTTTAAATTATTTTTTATTTTTTTATTTTTTCATTCTTAACATTGATTGGTAGATTGGCTGTCCTGGAGGTTGACTGAACTCAGCCTTGTGTATGTTATGCAAACATTCCACCATTGAGCTACAACCCCAGTTCATTCTTCCTTATTCTTACTGATTATTTTGAATATTTAAATATTCAAATTACTGAATATTTTGAACATTTTTTTACATTTGGCATATTTTCTTTATCCACTTGTCCACTGATGGGTATGTAGGCTGAGTCCCTAATTTGACTACAAATAATTCTGTGATAAAAACATGAGTGGGCAAATATACAACATAAAATATTTTTAAAAATCACAAAAAAATCAAGGTGCATTCGTCTTAATCAGAACATGGGGTAAAGATGGCTCACTGGTTAAAAGCTCACACAATCTGGCAAGAGGAGCTAAGTTCAGTTCCCAGCACCTGTAACTCCAGCTCCACAGGAGCTGTCTCTTCTGGACCCTTGGAAACCAGCATTCACATATGTACAAAGGCACACAAGGACACACACTTTAAACAAAAATAAAATAAGTCTTAGAAAACATTATTTTCAAATGAGGACTTACCTTATTAAGTGCAACAATGAAGGGACATTTTTTAGATTTGAGAAGGTTGATAGATTCAATTGTCTGCGGCTCTAAACCATGCATAATGTCAACAACTAAAACGGCAATGTCACAAAGAGAGCTTCCTCTGTTTCTCAGGTTACTGTCAGGGAAGAAAAAGCCAGGTGAGTGGAAATCTTCTCAGTATTTCTCATAAATTTCAATGTTTCCTTTCTTTGTAAAGCCTGAACAAACAGGAGAAACAAGCAGTCTCTGGGTCTGCAGGGATGGTGACCATCTCACAGATACCAAATTCACAATGATCTGGTCTCATAAAATGGCATCATATTTGCAATATAAACCATACAATCCTCTCATATACACACAGTGTCACCTCTAGGTTACATACACAGAACAGCCATCTCTGATGAAAAAAATCCAAACCCCAAAACCTTCTAAGAACAGGTATTATGCTTACTGTAAAGTTTCAAATTAGGGGCATTTTGAATTTCAGACTTTTCAGAATGTTTAACTGGAAAGTGCCTGGAAATGTGAACCATGTCCACTGCCAGGCTCATCAGAGAAGGAGACTCAACTGGAACACCAGCACAGTTTGAGTGCTCTGTGAACAGTGAATAGCACACTGTTGAGGGGTGACAAGAAGAATAGAGTCTGGATGTAGCTGGTATGAACGCAATCTTCCTCAGCTATTCTGGAAGCTCAATTGCTTATCCTGGAGATGTGGAGCACACACAAGAGGCAGATCAGCCATGAATGCTTTAAGGAGGAGTTCCATCTTCTCTTAACTTAGCAAACACACATCTGGCAGACACAAAAACTGAGTCTACCGGGATAAGTTAATGTCCAAAGTTACTCTAAGTTGTGTATGTGTGTGCATGCGTGCGTGCAAGCAACAATGTAGTGAAGTAAAAACAATATTCCTTTTGTAATGGGTCTGGAGGAATTCATGAAGAACTGCTCTGCCTTCCACAGTAGGGATGTTCTTTCCAACTGTAAGAGACTTTCTTCTATAAAAACCAAGAAAGCAAAACAAAAACAACAACAACAAAAAACAAAATACATGAAACATTAAAAACCAAAGATGATCAAAAGATTATGACACTACAGATCTGGAAGAACTATTCAAAGTCACTAACTAAATCCTAATGATTAGGCTGAGGTAAGTAGTTTCCTTGATGACAATAGACTGGTCTTACCTGAAGGACTCATGTCCAGGAGTATCAATAATCAGCATTCCTGGGATGCGGACACTCTCTCTGTCAAACTGAAAATAGTAGAGAAAGATGCAGAGAGTTTAAGGCCAGTGAACCAACGAAAGCTTCATTACAAACAATTTACCCAAACCTTGAAAACATCATTATTTCCTTTGTCCAAATGAATGACCGTAAAACAGTCAAACAGCACAATGGTTAATATTCTCTTTAATATCAAAATAAGTTTTGTAGGGGCTGGAGATGTACTTGCTATCTTACAGAAGATCCAAGTTTGATTCCTAGCAGCCACATCAAGCAACTCAAAACCATCTGTCAACACCAGCTCCAGAGGATCCAATACCTACTCTTAGCCTCCTACGGGGCACTCACACAAATACAGATACACATACATAAAAAAATTGATTAACTTAACAATTAATACAAATGCAGAGTGGAACAGTCATCGAAATCATCTATTAAAAACTGACTTAGGAAAAAAAAATAACAACTGACTTAGTATCTACAGAATGATCTGGGGGGCTGTATGTTTCAGTGCTAAGAGACATCTGCAGCGCAGGCCTGATGAACTACTGAGTCTGATCACCAGATCTCAGGAGAGTCAACTCCTAAAAGTTGGCATGTGCTCACCTGCACACAGACACACAATAAATAAAAACACAAAAATATATCTGGTCTAATTTTAAGCAAATCTAAAGTACCCAAGTGATATAAGAAAAAAAGTGTATTTTAATAATATTCACCAGGTGGCAGTGGTGCACACCTTTAATCCCAGCACTCGGAAGGCAGAGCCATGTGAACTCTGTGAGTTCGAGGACAGCCTGGTCTACAGATCGAGATCCAGGAGAGGCACCAAAACTACACAGAGAAACCCTGTCTTGAAAAACAAAAAATAAAACAAAAAAAAAGATAATCTACCTCAGCAGCTCCTTCTTAGTACCCAAACCTGAGATGAGCTTTTAAATATGAAAATCCTGGGTAACGGTAGTAAAATAAGGAAGGAAGTAACTTCAGAACAATGAAAGCCTTGAGAAAGGGGAAAATGGCATGGTATCTAGAGCAAAACAAATAAAGATGTTAATTCCGAGTGGAGACAGAAGGGTCTGAACATCCTCCTGACTAGCCTTTGGGAATCTACCCAAAGCTATGAATGCCATCAGAAAGGAACTGAGGCTTTAAAGGAGAAGAGTCTCATACCTGGTATGTCCACCACCATATCTGAAGAGCACATTGACTACAACTTTGTTTTAGGACCATAAAAACTTCCTAATAGTGCTACCATGTTGGTTCCTCTGAGTTTGTTCCTGAGCCATGCTCACTAATAACCAGTTTCAAAATAAATTTGAGGTGAGAACTGTTTATGTCAACAAAACAAGTAACATAATAAAACTTACATTTTTAATCATCTTAGTTTGTTCATTAATAGCTTCAAGAGGAACATTTGTGGCACCAATCTGCTGTGTAATACCACCTGCTTCACCATCTTGGACATGCGTGTGACGGAGCTATGAGAAGAAAGCAAACTGAGATTGGTCATTTGGCATGGAAGAAGATAAAAGCACAATCACTAAGACATCGACAACTCATTTTTTGTACACAGAGTGCCTGCATTACAGTGACCCCAGACTAAAGCCCTGAGAAGAGACTCTTGTGCTCCTCCATCCAACTATCAAGCTGTCCCCTTTATTCATTTACAAACTTACTGTGCACACTGGCCCTGCTAGGAAAAGGACAAAAGGCTTCATCCCACACTATACCTATCAAAAGAAGAGGCCAGGGACAAGGAAGTCCTCAAGGATAGAAAAGGTGGGAATTATAGCATCATACAAAACCCCTGGGACATTTTGCAAATGTTTCAAAAGCAGACCCCACTTTTTGCCCCATAATCCCATTTGGATAACTTGTAAATAGATCTATAATACATTTTCTTTTACCAATTTCTATTTCCTAATTTCTTTGAAATACAAGAAAATGGAGGCAGATTTACAGACCTGCCATGCTGTGTGATATGAAAGCTTTTCAAAAGTACTATTTATTTCTGAAATAATATTGACACACACATTTTCTTACCTTGTCTAGAATTTTTGTTTTCCCTGTGTCTACATGTCCAAGCACACAGATGATAGGGGCTCTTAACTTTTCTGTATTTACATTTTTACTATGTTCAAGTCGTCGTTTCTAGAAGTGGGGTTAAAAAAAACAAAAACAGAATTACAAATTAAGTACTGCTTCAAGTCTTCTTTATGCTCCACCTTGACTTATGTTTAAAAAGGGGGGGAAGGGCCTGAAGGGGCAGTTCCTGGTTTAGACCAGTGTCAAAACATATCATGGTCCAACATTACAAAATTTGGAGAGATACTGGTCATAATAATTTTTTGACAGGGTTTCTCTGTAACCCAAGGTGTCCTGGAACTCACTCTGCAGACCAGGCTGGCCTCCTCATAGATCCACCTGCCTCTGTCTCCTGAGTGCTGAGATCAAAGGTGTGTGTAGCCACCACCTGGCAATACTACTTTCTTAGAAGCACTGACTCAGACCTTTAGGTCCGAGGAAGACAGGGAAGACAATAGGAACACAAATACCTCAATTCTCCGCTTTGCTTTGTCATAAGCCCGCTCTTCTTTAGTTCGGTCGTCATCGTCAGAGTCATACTCAGAATCTGAGCTAACGTCTTTGCTTGGCTTTTTATCTAATGTCTTCCCTGAGTCTTTCTCATCTGACATCTTCTCATCTTCCTCATCACCTTCACTGCCTTCACTTTCTCCTTCCTCTTCCTCATCTTCACTCTCTTCTTCCTCTTCCTCTTCCTCTTCGTCTTCCTCCTCCTCCTCTTCAGGTTTTTCTTGTACTTCTATGTGAATCGTATTTCCTTCTTTGAGGAAAATAAATTGATTTTAAAATAAATGAAAGCTAACATCATAGATTTATATCAAAAGAACAGAGACTACAAAGTAAGGTAAATTGTTAAAATATACTAATTACAGCAGTTGCCTTAACTTCCTACGTCACAAATGCCAAACATTTATCTGTTCCTGTGAAGACTCCCACCAGGCATAAGACTCGAGGTGACATCACTACGCCAGGATTCCTGGCAGGACAATATGGACAACTGAGGATAATGCTGAGCACTGCTTTCCCCTTGGGGTGCTTCTTTGATGATTCTGGAAGCAGCATTTAAATCTGAAGCTGCCTCAGTGCTAACAGCCAGCATTAGGAGTCCAAGCCTACAAAGACTAGAGCAGGGAGGGAGAGGAAGGTATGAGTGAGCAGTCACTGCGTTATAATACTGTTACTGTGTCAGAAAAATCCTGTAGCATGTTCCCTAGAAGTAATAGTAGGTGAGAAACAAACAGACTGTATCATCATCTAAAATGAAATGAGTCCATGCATTTGTTATTAAAAATGCTGGTGTGCAGACTGACAACCTTTAATTTAAAAAAAATCCCCAAATCTGAAATTCTCCAAAAATAATGATGCCATGTTTCCTCCTCTTTTGACACAGGGTCTCAAGTATCTATAGCTCAAGACAAACCAGAGATACTGAGACACTGTGTCAAATAAGAAAAAAAGATATAAAATTAAAATTGAAGCCAAAAGAAAAATGAAGCAAAAAATGTTAAAATTTTCTATGTCCAGAGAAATAATTACTATATGAAAAAGGAGGAAGAACAAACAATGGAGGTGAAAAAAACATAATTTGAAAGAAAAAAAAAGCAATGGTATACACAAATTGAGAGATGGATAAATGCTCAAGTACTCCGAAGTTGTCTGGAAAGGTGGTGGCACTAAGCACTGTTAGTTGAAATGTGCAAGTTAAAAATCTCTAATAGCATCCTTTTAAAAATTAAGCTAGTCAGGATGGCACATTCCTATAATCTCAGCCAGCATTCAGAGGTTGAGGCAGGAAGATCACACATTTGAGGACAGACTAGGAACTTAGAGAGATCCAGTCTTAAAAAAATAAAATGAAAATCCTATCACTTAAGTAGAGGCAGAAAGACCTTGGCTCACAGCAAGTTCTAGGACATCTGTGCTGGATAATGAGAGCCTATCTCAGAAACTGTGTAAAACAGAAATAAGAAAACCAAGGGGGTTAGGGAATGGAACTAATAAGAATAACAAAATCCAACAAACCAAAGATGGTTATAAAAGGGAAAAACGGAAAAAGATCACAATAGACTTAGGAGCTTAAAAGAGAATGTACTTCATTAATTACATCGGGTGTTAATGCACTGCTGCGAGTACTCCAGGTGAACTGACTGACAAACTGTGCTTGCTAGGGTAAGAGTGCACGGTAGAGTCCCCTCTACCATGGTGCTATTAAGAAGTAGGGGTGCACGTCTTTAGTCCCAGCACTCTGGAAGGCAGAGGCAGGAGGATCTCTGTGAGTTCAAGGTCAGTCTGGTCTACAAAGCAAGTTCCAAGACAGCCAGAGCTATTATGGAAACCCTGTCTCAAAAAACAAACCAAAGATATAGGGCCTCAGGGAAGCTAAGTCATGAGTGCTTTGTACTCCTGAGGTGATTAATGCTTCAAGGAGTTTTTGCAAAGAGTTTACTCAACTCTCTGTTCAATCCTTCCACCAAGTGAGAATACTGCTCGTTCCTCCCTCTGAAGGGGTCAGCAATAAAGTGTCTCCCTGGAACAGAGAGGAGTCCTCCTCACCTGCCACCCACCAGTGTCAGTAGCTTGATCTTGGATTCCAAGTCTAGGAAACACATCTCTATTTTTGATAAGTCATACAATCGATGCTTTATTATGTCAGCAATAATATACTGAGGCAAAGCCATTTACAGGTATAAGGAGAGTACTACAGACAGAAAACATTCATGTAAGTCAAGGGTAGTTTAGAAGAATATGAGATACTTAATATGATAACAGCCACTACTTGAAAAGCAGAACTATGATAGAAGGGCCAATTCATCAGAAAGATCTAAGACTGTATTCACCTGATATCATAGAATCAAAATATGTAAAGCAAAAATTAACATAACTCTGAAAACAGACAATCTATAATCAAGTAAGAGAATGTGTATACCTATGTGTGCTCACATGTAAACACACAAACTCTCAGAATAATAAAGTCTTGAACAAAATAATCACCACACTTGGTCTCAATACAAAACCCAAGACAGCTTCTACAAACTAGTTTCTAATCACATTTGAAAACAAAATATCTGAGCATACACTGGCTTGTAAGGCAAAAGCCACCATACTTCTTGAGAGAGAACCAAAGAATCACTGAGAAAACTCAGTGGTAGAACTCCTGCCTAGTGAATACAAAGCCCTGGGTTCAATGCCACACAAACACACAGACATAGACACACACAGAATCATAGGTATTCCCTGGTCACCAAATTCTGTAGGCTAAAAAACACACTAAATAAATTAAAACTGCAAACTAAAAAATATTAACATCAAAAACTTACAAATTTGGTGAAACCCTTGGTTTACTAAAAATGTTAGATTAAAAAAGAGGAGGGCTCTCAAAAATCAAAGAGCCAAACATTCTCAAGAATATAGGAAAGAAACTGTAAGAAATTAAATTCAAAGTAAGGTGTTTTAGTCATAAAATTCAAGTGTAATGACCAAAAGGTGAACACTGACATTTTAGTCACAGTGAGCGGAACTGCGCCAATCTTTGCCTTATGCTGTTAGGCTTTGTGTAGGTGAGCTTTAGGAAGGCTACTCACCCCACACTGTCTAGATCAATGTATGCTAGGCAGCTATCACCTTAAAGATGACCTTCTGAAAACACATTCCTTTGGATTCAGAAACACACATGATATATGATCAGTGGATTTATCAATATTACTCACGGTTACCTTGCTCTCTCTCTTCATCACTGGCCATAGCTTCCCAGTCATCTAACCCAGCATCCTCAGTTTCTTCTTCTTCCTCTGTAAGTACAAGTTGCTATTTATGACAAGAAAGCACTGGAGGGTAAGAGGCTGCTTTCAAAAGTGCTGAATTATGTTTGGACAGAGAAAAAAAACTTGCTTCAATTATGAAAAAATGTTTATGTAGCTGTTTTCTTTGGAATTTTCTTTTCACTATACCTAGCATGCCATAAATTAAGTATAAACCAGATTTTATATTCAAATAAACTAAATTAGAAACCTAAGCAACAAAATGTTTAGATTTTAAAATGATGTATGAATGAACTCAGTTCTTTTAAAACTTTCAACTCATGCATTAGACACAGGATTTTTATTTTGCTCTTATCAGACTTATCTTTTAGAACAACATTTAACTAAAAAAGAAAAAAGTAAAAAATTTTTGCCAATGCTTGCAAGGTATATGTATAAACACACACACACAAATTAATAAGCTGAACATATATGGATTAGTAAATAGGAGCTAACCTCTAAGGTTTCAAAATATATGTTTTATGGTTCTTACAGTGTTGTAACTAAAGATGTTCCTAATTTGCTTTCATACCATAAGGTAAAAACTTCAGGCTTAGAAATTTTTGACCCATTTAAAAAAAAAGGGGGGGGGAGCATTCCAAAACCCTTCAGTGTCTCCAACAGACATTTTAATGACACTACTAAAGAGAAACAAAGCTGATTCAAGTATCGCTGGGATATTTTCTCAAAGTGGACATGAAGAGAGATGGGCTAAAGAAATAATGAAGAAAACCATCTAAGCTAGTAATTTATTTGGTTCCAAACCACTTAATGATGGTAGCTTACTGAGTCATGAACACTATGTAATGGGAATTAATGAAAACTAATGTTACTGGCCTGGTTCAACAGAAGGGGGTGTCTCTTCTTTTTCTGGTATTCCTTGCTCCACAACTTCCACAGCAGCACTTACTTCCAAGGTTTCAGATACTAAAAGGGAGCAGAAAGTGTATTAGTCACATTTTGCAGTCTGCTATTTCTCTTCAAATATCCTATTCAGGACAGTATAAGAATTCTTGATGTAAGAACACGCGTCTTTCTAAGTCTGGGAAACATTTGATACCACTTACAAAGGAAATCACTGTTTCTGCCCAAGTAGAATATAAAATCACAGGGCAAGAAGAAAAATAATTTATATTTTTGTTTTTCAGATGTAACATTATTCACATAAGATGCAGATATTTCAATCTCAAGTATTTTTTGAAGGTTTATCTTACGTGTGTGAATATATGTGCACACCTGTGTGTAGGCCAGAAGAAGCATTGGGTCCCTGAGAGCTGGAGTTCTCATTGGTGGGAGGCCCACCTTGTTACCTAGGCCTCCTGGTTGAGCAGCAAGCAGTCTCAGCTCCTGAGCACTCTTCTCTAACAACCCAAGTACTCTCTCTTCTGCCTCTCATTTGAATCAAGTGAGAATGATTAAAATGGTAAGAAACAATGGGTAGAAAAATGCAGTGCTGGGGACTGGGGATGGAGCCAAATAATAGAACCGCTTTGGCTCAGAAAGACCCTGGACTCGGTCCTCAACATCTCACACACATGCATGCTTGTGGAAAGGCACTTTCTGTTGAAAGCTGTGAGAAAAAGACAGGTGTAACCTTTCTAAACCAAAGGCTACTTCATAAACAAACCTTCTTTATTTTCTGGCTGTTGTGGTATTTTCTTCTTCTTTTTATCTTCGTAAATGGGCCTTTTCTTTGGCAACGAGTCTTTCGATGGCACTTCAACACCTAAGAGGGTAAATGAGGAAAATTTAAGGCTTATACCGTTATACAGTTTACTTGATACTGGAGGTAAAGTATTTAAAATATGAGGCATGGTAGCCCACTTGCAATCCCAGCACCTGGGAGGGTAAAGGCAGGAGGGCCATCATCCTAGTAGGTTCAAGGTCAATGTGGGCTACATGTGAGACCCTGTTTCATCTCAACACTTCTAAAAAAGGAAAATACTTTAAAAGACAGCATTTTAAGCCAGGCAGTAGTGGCACACATCTTTAATCCCAGCGCTTGTGAGGCAGAGTCAGGCCAGTCTCCATGAGTTCGAGGCCAGCCTGGTCTACAGAGTGAGTTCCAGGACAACACAAAGAAAAACCTTGTCTCAAGAAACCAAAAGAAGGACATTTTATCCAATTCAAAGACACGCACCCTAAAATTGAAGGTCATTCAGAAAGAAACCTATGGCTTCTGCACAGGGTATCTGTACATTCACATTCAAACACACTGAAGAGCTAACAAGTGCACAGATCTTGCAAACACCGCTGCCATGAAGAAGCAGAGCAACTCTGTTACCATGTACTGTCTCAAGTAGCCAAGCCCCCTTAGTCTGAGCTGACTCATCTGTTCTCTAACCATACTGTTCAGCTTTTCCTAAAATGTCCACAAATGACATCTTCCCTCAGGCTTTTGTCATCGTGATGGATATGTAAATCATCAGTACTTTTATTTTGGACAGAGTCACATTGTGTAGCTCTGGCTAGCTTGGAACTCACTATGTAGACCAGGCTATCCTTCAATTCACAAGTATCTGACCACCTCTGCCTCCAGAGTGTTGGGGTTAAAAGTGAGCCCACCATGCCTGGCCCAGTACTTCATCTTTTAATTTCTGAGCTTTTGTATTACACCAGTTCATTAATCCACTTAACAGCTGAAGGGCTTCTGATCATTTTTAGTTTAGATTAGTTATGAGGAAAGCAGATGTGATTATCTTCACACAGGCTTCTTCATGAGTATTTCTCTTGAATGAGATAGAAGTTAAATATGTGCTTAATTTTGTTCAAAGCTGCCAGTTCTTTCAAGTGGACTAAGATTGAAAATTCTTTTCATGTTTACGGTTATTGGGTAAAGTGGTCATTCAAATCTTTTGTGAGCTTATAAATGGAGTTCCTGGTTTTTCAAAAGTGCTGAATGATAAAGTTTTATATACCTTCAATAGTCTTTACAAAATATTCAATAGGAAGGTGTTTGTGAATTTTCCTTCCTTTTATAGGTTACTTTTGTATTACATTTGTGTGTCTGTAGGCATCCACAATGCTACAGGACACTTGTGGAAGTTGGTTCTCTCCTTCTCCCATGTGGCTTTCAGGAGCTGGACTCAGGTTTGGTGACGGCTCAATGAGCCGTCTTCCGGGCCCCTGAAATACACCTTCAAAGTCATTATCTGAATATCTTTGCCTAAATATTTTCTCCAAAAGGTTTTGGCTTATAATATTTAGCACTAAGATCCATTTTGAATTAATATTTAGGTATTATCAATCTAAAGTGGGGATAAAGACAAGTTTCTGTATACAGACATTCAATTGTTTTAAGTATCATTTGTTATAAGAACTACATGTATTTCATCTCCTGAATTTCCCGATACCAGGGAAAATAACATCACTTTGTCATCTGCAGACACTATTCTGTTAATCTACTTGTCTGCCCATTTGCCAATATAACACTATACTGATTCTTGGGGCTTTAGAGTATTTTTTAAAGATTTATTTAGAGTTAATCTTGAAATCAAATATTTTGATTCTTCAAAATTACTCTCCTTTTTCAAAAGCATTTTTGGTAGGGCTGGAGAGATGCTCAGTGGTTATGAGCACTTGTTCTTGCAGAGAACTAGGCTCTGGTTCTAGCACCCACATGGTGGCACACAACCATCCATAACCCTAGTTCCAAAGGTCCCAATGCCCTCCTGTGGGCACCAGGCACAACACATGCCATATACATATATGCAGTTAACAACACACAATAAACAAACTTTTTTAAAAAATGTGTGTGTTTTGTTTTGTTTTTTTGAGGCAGGGTCTCACTGTGTAGCTCTGGGTGCCCTGGAACTCACACAGTAGAGCAGACTGGCTTTGAACTCAGAAATTCCCTGCTTCTGCCTCCCAAAGTGCTGGAATTGAAGGTGTCTGCCACTATACCTAGCTTAAATAAACCTAAAAAGTTTCAAAACAAGGTCTTTTGGGCTATTCTAACTCAATCTTATCATATCTGCGTTTTAGAAACAGGTAACAGAGCACCATAAAGTATCATTCTGTGACTTCAATTGAGATTCCACTGAATCAACAGACCAATTCTGCAAGCTTCACAGTTTTGAGTCTCATGGTATTAATTATATGTTTCACACAGTCCTTACTTTGATTTACTAATTGCTATTTTGTAGTTTTCAGATTTAGATACTATGAATAATAGGTTTATAATTCTTTCGCTTTCTTTTTAGATTGGTTCAGTAAATGTTCCTGCTCAAATTTGGTTTGGTTTTGTTAATTTTCAGCAGCTAATTGATGGCATGAAAATACAACTGACATTTACATACTGATCTGCCATTCACAGCCGTGCGAACCTCACCCTCGGTGCTACAGTTGTCTGGATGCAGGAGATGCACAGGATTTTTCTATGCTGATAATCATAACCTGCAGAGACAGTTTCATTGCTTCTTTCCAGTCTGCTGCCATTCAGTCATTTAGCCCACTTCCACAGGCCAGGACATGACAGCACAATACTGATGACCATGGCAAGCAAAGACTGTCCTGCCTTTTCCATTATGTTAGGGTTTCATTAATTTTGTGTGTGCACATACAGGCACACACCACAGTATATATATGCAATATAGGGCAATTTGTGGGAATCCATTTTTTTCCTTCCATCATGTGGGTGGATCTCAGGGATCAAACTCAGGTTGTTAGGCTTGGCAGAGCAAATTGTCTTTACCCACCAGGTCATCTTTTGAGGTCTCTCTCTTTTTTTTTTTGTTTTTCGAGACAGGGTTTCTCTGTTTAGCTTTGCGCCTTTCCTGGAACTCACTTGGTAGCCCAGGCTGGCCTCGAACTCTCAGAGATCCGCCTGCCTCTGCCGCCCGAGTGCTGGGATTAAAGGCGTGCGCCACCACCGCCCGGCCTTGAGGTCTCTTTTTTAACTCTTCACCACTAACATGAGAAGTGCCTTTTGGGGGGGGGGGGGGGGGGGCTGGGGGATAGCAGAAAGAGACTAATGTCTTAAAACGTCAAGTTAAGTTCACTGATACTGTTTGTAAATATTATATTAAATGATGACTCTGTCAAATGGTTTTTCTGAATTCACTGATATGTATCATGTAACTTTTATTTTTTAGATTGCTGATATGAAAAAATACAGTGATTCATTTTCAAATATTGAGTCAGCCTTGCATTCCCAGGATAATATCAAATTTATAATGAGAGATTATATAGATATATTAAGTAGATGCCTACATATACCCACATATTTATCTGGGGGGGGGGGAGAGATACTTTGCTAAACTTTTGTTGAAAGCTTTCTCATGTAAGTTTGTAAATGGTCAGTTATTGTAGCTCATACCTATATTCCCAATACTCAAGACGCCAAGACAAGAAGGATTGACAGGAGTTTCAGACCAATCTGGAGCTATATATAGTCTGTATATCCTCTCCTGAAATGACTTTTTCTCAGTATGTAAAAGTGTTCTCAAAAAACATATAAGCTATTTATGGAACATAGTATAAATAACTGGTCCAACGTACTCCTTAATCATTTTTTAAAGTCCCTGGGAGCTTGTTTTCCTTGTTGGAAAGTAACTTAGTAAAATTTAATAGATTGTACCTTTTTAAAGTTGTTCTACTGCATCTACATTTTTGGATAGACAGGCATGTAATTGTTCACAGTAGTACCTTCCATTTCACTACTGACATTGGTTTAAAATGTTTGTTGTTCTTAGTCAATGCAGCTAGTGGGTTATTTTATTGATCATTTCCAAGAACTAGCCCTTAAGTTACAAAATTCTTAAAGCTACTCTTCCCCCACCTCACCCTGTACCTTTTGTAAGATGTTCCTCATCTCCAGTAAGCATTCCTCTTTGAATAGGGTAAGGAGAAATGCACTGTTTAGTTTCCAAAACTTGTAGATTTCTCCCCATATATATTTATTTTGGGAGGATATTGGCTTGGTTTTTTGTTGTTGTTTTTTCCAGATAGGGTCCTGTAATTTAGTTCAGACAGACCTAGAACTTGTTATGGTAGCCCAGGCTGGACCCATATCGTTACATCTTAGGAGACTGTTTTACTGGTCCCTCTGCTAAAAAGATTACATTCTTTCTACAGTTTTCTATTCTAAGATTACTGAGAAGTTTCATACTAGTATAGCAAGCAGCTGGAGACTCATAGGTGTGAGGCCAGTCTTATGAGTAACCTGAGGCTGTTAAGACCAGGAAGTCCAAGAATGCAAAAGGCCTGAATATTTCACATCTGTGAAATGTGAAAGCACACATCTGCAGGAAGATAGTGGCCTTCTGCCTTTAAAAGCAGTCCTCCTCCTTTAACTGGGCCTCAGCTCCAAATCTGACCATGGGACTAGGAATGGGCTAATTACAACTCCATAGAGTTTATTTAGATGGCCTCTTGGTGTCTTCTAAATCCATAACACTAGTGTGGCTATCACTCAGCAAAGTAGAAGTGAATTTCCTCTAACTTTTCTATTATGAGGGATCCCTTACTCAGTAACTCTGGCCACTATTAAGCAAACAAATGTGAGTATTATTCTAATTTCATATACTGTTACGCAATAATGTGCTCAATTCAAAATGAAGAAAGTTTTAAAATTTTACAGCTCAAAGAAAATTCTAGGAAATTCTTTTCCTCTCATTCCCTAAAGGACCACAAAAACTTTCACCATTATGATATAGTCTATAAACTGGGGCTATCAATTACTGATGCAAAATACAGAATTAGGGCACAGCTGACAAAAGATGAAGC